ATCGAGTGCTTGAAACAAGGTCATATAAACGCGGTGCATCTCTAAAGGACTCTACAGCTATATTCTTAAGTGCTTGAAGTCAATATTCTAGTACAATTATAAAGGAACAAGCATAAGAGTTTTTAAAAATTACAAGTCTACTGGAATTCATTTTCCAGTGAGTACATTTTTTAAAATGAGTCAAAGAAACTTTTTGTGGACACAGCTCACCACTGAATTTGTGTACGCGAGTTGGATTAATCGACGCTCCATTTTGCTGTATATGCAAGTTCAATTTATTTGGAAACTGCTCGTCGCTATATTTTGGTGTTAAGAAGTTGAATACATCAAACGAGAAGAAAAGAAAAGTTGAAATTACGACCATTCTACTACATAGTTTGTGTTATTCCTTTCATCTACGAAGTTGCCCATCTCACTAAAGGTAACGCTATTACCCCGGTACTTAGTCTACCTGGCTTGAAGAAAAGTTTTCCGAACAGATTTGCTGAAAAAGTTTTCGGGCGTGTAACGCCCGTACATTTCTTTAGTACCAAGCGTCGGAATATTCGAAACTCATTAAAAATTCGAAAACGAATGTTAGGGCCCGTTCTGGTTGGCTATAGGGTAAATTTGATTGTTCCAAATAAGGTCAAATAAGGAAATGAAATGCAAATTAGACTTGAATACTCCAACGGTTGGCAAGGCGTTTTTCTGGTAGTATCAAATAATTGCTACAGTATTGGATATCGTGTTTAAATATTGTACAAAAATCTTAATATATTTATTGGAACTATTTACGCTTCGTTTGATTGAAAATCGAAGGACATTTGAATTTCTAATCAGATTAACTGTCAATTGGATGTTGTATATAAGTTCTTCAGGGACTTGAATTATTGTGTAATTAAGCAGAACAACTCTGTTGTTTATTTAACCAAAGTTATATTTATGTTTCTATTGAATTTTTATTTGGGTGGACTTTTCTTTCTGAATTTGTGGTGTAGCGGGTTTCATTTGGGAGGGTGTCCTGCCTCAGTTGAACTCTGTTTTGCGCCGAAGCCGTATTCATAATTGAGTCTCTGGCCGGGAGGTCGTATCGTCCCCGTAATATTTTCGTATTTTTGTCATCATCGTTTAAGNTCTGATGCCCAACCAGCTTTGTCAAGGATTTCCTGTATCGGAACTAATGCCTTTTGCGCTGCACTTGTTGACGCAGACCTGGTACTATGTGCTTTAAACTTCTCTAAATCAATGCCTGCATTTTCCATTGTTGTTTTGATCCAACGACCAATGGTGTCCCTGGACACTCTTTTATATGGCCTTTGGTGGCTTATCAGAAGTTGGTTTTCTTTTCCACGCAACTGTTCAGTTCTTTGTAGATACTCAATCAAAACCTTAACAACACATAAGCGTTCATCTTTCTCATAAGCTCGAAGCTCCAGTGGTTTGACACCTTTTYTAGCAGTAGACTGTTTTAGAGGTTYATCAAAATTGAATACTATGCTTGTTGCATGCTTTTCCATGAGACTGAGTTTTAGCARTTGAATAGTTTGAAGTCTCTGCGCTGTAGTAATGGCGATTAACATAACTAGTTTTAATGATAAATCTTTCAACGTTAACRAAGACAAAGGGAACAAACTAGCTAAGTGTCGAAGGACGACACTGACATCCCAGGTGTCCTTGTACCTTGTCATTGGGGGTTTTAGATTGAAAACCCCTCTCATAAACCTTGACACCAATAGATGACGTCCAATTGGCATATTGTCTATAACTAGTATTACTGACAAAGCACTTCTGGCTGTATTTAATGAACTGTAACTTAATTTGTCTTTCTCAAACAAGCTTGTCAGGAAATCTATCACCTTCCCTATAGATGGTCGAAGACAATCAATCTGTTGCATGCCACAGTAGTTGATCCATCTATTGATGAATTACGCATATTGTTTGTGTGTTCCTTTGCGCCAGGATGCCAGTATGATATCGGCAGACTTTCCAAATATTTCATACTTTTCAAGCGATTTCCTGACAATCTGCATGCCATCAGTTGAAGTTTTGGCAGTAGTGGRTGTTGTTTGYCTGGCTTCGTTGGCAGGCACAGAAGATTGCCTCGTTTGGGCAACAAAAGAGGTTGGTCTATCAGCATTTCCATGGCCTTGCTGTAGTACGTCTGAGTCGGCCAATTTGGCATTACAACAATAGATTCTGCTTGATCCAACATGATTTTTTGTAAACATTTCCCCAGTAAGCTAAATGGGGGAAAACAATATATTAGTGGACCATGCCAGCTTATAGTAAAAGCATCCACATGACTTGCTTCTGGGTCTGATTTCCATGAATAATGGGTTGGTAATTTTTTATTTAGATAACTGGCAAATGTATCAATTATTGGAAACTTGTCAACAATAGAATGGAAAACTTGACAGTCAAGTTCCCATTCGGTGCGATCGTTAAAATTGCGTGACTGGAAATCAGCATCCACATTAGCTTTGCCTGGTATGTGGGTAGCTGTAAGCCAAATGCTATGAGCTATATACATATCCCATATGCTCTTTGCTATATTATTGCATACTAATGAATGGGTACCCCCCCATACTATTTATATACGACACYGCTGTTGTGTTATCAGATTGAACAAGGACATGCTTGTTGCAACACAAACCCAAGAAGCTTTGTAATGCATATTTTATAGCTAATAACTCAAGTGCATTGATGTTGCCTTTAAACCAATCAATCTCAATAGGTAAAAATTGCCCCTGTGCTGATTTATTATTGCACACTGCTCCCCATCCCACCTGGGAAGCATCGCTTTGGACAGCTATATCTGGGTTACACCTTGATATAAGTCCACATGCTGAATCAATGTGGTTAACCCACCATTTAAGATCGCACTTCATTTCGTTTGATATTTTCATCAATTACCACGAGCATTTTTTTTTAAAAAAGCTGTGATCTTTCCCATCTCTAAATGTCTATAATTGAGACGTCCATGTTCTACTCCAGGAAAACTTGACACAATTTTCCCAATAACTTTTGCAATGCTTCTTATGCTCTCCTGTGACTTATCAATCATTTCTAGACAGACTTTTTTGAGTTKTTCTTTTTTCTCTGAAGTTAGAGAAACTGTCATGGAATTGGAATCAATTTCAAAGCCTAACACCTTAACCCGTTGGCTAGGGTGCTTCACAGATTTTTCGGGGTGAATTAGAAACCCTACACTACTCAAAAGGTCTTTACACCGTGTTATTGCACTGCTAGCATGTTCATATGATGATCCCTGAATAAAGCTGTCATCAATATAACCTGACACTGTATGTCCTGCTTGTCATAGATTTGCATAACAAGGTTTCATCAATTTAGTAAATAAYCTAGGTGCTGATGACAGCCCATTAGGGAAACATGTATACTGATATATTTTTTCCCTCCCAACTAAAGCGGAGGAATTTCCTATGTTCCGCTGCTATGGGAACCATGTAATATGCATCCTTTAGATCAATGGTAGCCATATAACACCCAGGAGTTATAAGTTTTAATATGGATTGCAAAGT